AATTAGGGTGTGACTTAAAAAAAGTATAGATATAATTAAAGATTATGATGAGGTAGTTATGATAAAATGAAATAATTATATAACAGTAATTTTATACTGTTAATTAGTAAGATAAATTAATAATCGATAGTAATTGATTTTTATTAATTGAATAAGAGTGTGAAAAGTCATTTCTGTCAAAATGGATTGTAATATAAAATTGTACAAGAATTTATAAAAGAGTTGAATATCTAATTAAATTTGATACAAATATTTATATGAACTAAATTACAGTTATGAATATAATCAATTATTTCTTAAATTGTTAACATATTTTCTATTGTTTCCCAAACATATTAATAAAAGTGTCATAAAGATAAAACATATGATGTCAGCTAAAAGTACTAACATACAGATATTATTGACATCATAAGCAGCCAAACGATCTAATTCTAAATCTAATGGTTCTTCTATTAATAAGAAATACATTAATTAAGGAGTAAAGAAAAGTATTTCTAATGATTTCATAATAAAATTTTGAACTTAAAAAAATCCATTACTCTTTTATTTTAAAAATATGAATTAAAATTCAGGAGGAATTAATACAATATATGTTTTAAGTAGCAAAAGCCATCTATTTAAAGAATTCACTTATTATTAAAGTTACCTTAATTACAATTCATCTTATCCATTTCTTATTACCATAGAATTACATTTGATCAATAATTAATCTCTTTCATTAATAGTCTTATTAAACCAAGCTTCATAAGTATCATAAACAATTTTAATCCTTGCATCTCTAGTATATTCACCAACACATAGTAATTTATAGATTATCAATATAAATATTACTCTAATTCCAATAAAAGAACCAGGAATCCACCAATAAAATTAAGTCATTATTTCTTCACTATTTTCATCTTCAACTTAATTATTGTAATCATTTTATATCACATAAAATATGACTATTGCCACATAACCAATTCGTAAACCAATATTCAACCAAATATATAAATTCATTAGATATCTAACCCATCTATTCTTATTTAACAATTTTATCAAAGTAGCAGAAGTATCAAAAGAACATTCTTATTAAAATCTCTTTCTTTATGGTCTCGTTCTCAACAACAACGTTTCAACTCGATTCCTTTTTACTTGTCCTATTGGAATAACTTATCTTTTTCTAGGTACTAGTTCAGATAACTAGGTTCCATTAATTCCATTATAGAGCAATGGCTCCATACTAGATTCTTGAATACTCCTTAATTATAAGGTATTCCTATTCTTTTATTAAGGGCGAACATATACAGTTGGCCGATTTTGCCTATTTTCTATAATATCAAATAATATACGTTATTAATCAAACTCAAACACAGAGTGGAATCCATCTTATTCAAAATTATCTCTACAAGTCATATAAGAGCTTCTTTCTGATTTCATTAATATATTAAAAACAAAATTACTGTAATTTAGTTTTTCATATATTATTAACTCATAAAATTAGGTATAACTTATAATCATTACAATTAGTCTTACACAAACTATAGTATTGTTATTTGATATAATATATAATATTTGTTATATTATAAACCATCTTTAATCTAATGTTTTTACTTAAAATTCCAATCAAATTGTTAATTTATGTATTTTTATCAAAAAACCTTAAAATTTTGTATTTTATAAAAACTCTCAGAAATAATACTCAAAAACTATTTATAAATTTAAAACTACAGAAAAGTACAATGATGAACACAAGAATTAAATGATTTTTTAATAAACATAAATTGTTACCTCTATCAGTAGATTGACTAATATAATTAAATAATAATTACTAAGAGAAAAACATGGAGACAAATTAAGAAATCGTACTTCTAAAAGAGTCTTTCTTGGAATTTATCAATAAAGTGTTACCTATTTTAAAAGGAGAAGTCTTGGAATTATTTAACTCAAAATGGATTCCCTTAAAAAAATTACTCTCTGACCCCTCAAATAATGCTAGTGAGATTTTCATTCTAGTTTCATCAATGTCTTCCCTTAAAAAAAGCAATTCTTCTTTTATTTCAACTAATTCCCCAAATTCTGATTGCAGCATCTAAAATAAATAAGGATTAACAAATCAATCAACTAAAAGTAAAGAATAGATTGAGTTAAAAAAAGAAATAACAAAAGTAAAAGAATAAGCAAATCCTTTGTATTACAAAGAATTAAAAATTGGTATTTATAATCCTATATAGTCAATCAAGAGATAAATAAGAACTTCTTTCTAAATACTCCAAGAACAAGACCTACTTCTTAAAAAGACTTAGAATGCAATAATAATACAAGAGGATATGAAGAAGATATTAAAGCAAAAATACTTAGAGATGATATAAAATGTAAATTAAGAATTTATAATAATATAATTTAGTTTTAAATCAATTAAGGAGTGCTATACCTGAAAAGAAAACATCTATATGTATTAATTTGAATTTGGATTCAAAAATTTAAGATGCTATTCTATAATTTAAGAAGAATAGTTCTATTTTAAAGACTGTTCATGAAAGAAGCTCAGAAGTTATTACACCTTAAAGTCCTAAAAATGTTAATTAAGAATCTCCTCTATTATATTATCATAAACCTATGAATTAATACATTTAAAATCCAGTAATCAGAGAATAATTAAATAGTGATGGATTAAAAGGATATAGCATTTATTCAAAAAATGGTATTGGTTAACCTATATAATTTGATAATCAATTTCAGATGATGGTTTAGCAATACAAAAATAATTTAATCTATAAAAAGTTATATTTTTGAAGGTATATGTGATATTAGTAGTAAAATAATTGTTATTTATTTTTAATTTAAAGGAAGCAATAAATTATTTATTCAAGATTATTCTAATAATGACCGAAGCAAGTCAATCTCATTTTGTAATGCCTCTTTTTTTTTATTCCATTTGATTTCTTTATTACGATACCTTGTTATCAATTTGGTTGTTCTTACATATATTTCCTTCAATTCTTATTCCTTAACTTCACCAATATATTCATACTTATTGTGCCAAATCTTAAGTGTTTAACATTTCAAACAACCATCTTTCTCTTTCAAATTTAGTCATTTCAACAGGTAATTTGTGTGATCGTTATGACAATTTTCTTTACAATGAATAATAATCTAAACTTGAACATGGCTTTTGTTAAGATGTGACCTTACTGTTTTTCTCTGATAAAATATTTAATAGTTTCTATTTCATATCAGTTTAGCTTTATATTTTAGTATTCGAATTTGACATTAATTAAAATAACAAGTGATATTTTAATAATTAAAATCAAAATTCTCATCAAAGTATTATAATTGATAAATTGAATAATAGATTTCACTAATAATGAATGTAAAATAGAATAGATTTTTTATTTGTTTTAATAATGTAATGTAATTATACTTTTCATAATCTTCTTCCTCTTCTACCACCTGGTCTTCTAGTTGAATCTGTTGGAATTGGTGTGACATCTTCAATTCTACCAATTTTTAATCCCAAACGAGCTAGAGCTCTAAGAGCAGCTTAAGCTCCTGGTCCTGGTTATCTTGTATCAACACCTTAATTATTTGAATTATTAAAATACCTCCTCTGGCTCTCAATTTAATATGTAAAGCATTAATTTTAAGTGTTTTCAATTTCTCATAAACATCTTTGGCTGCTTGCATAGCTGCATATGGTGAAGATTCTTCTCTGTCTGATTTGACTTTCATTCCTCCTGTTACTCTTGCAAGTGTTTCTCTGCCTGTCAAATCTGTAATATGTATAAAGGTATCATTCCAAGTAGAGAGAATATGAGCAACTCCAAAAACTAATTCATTTCCAGCAACATTTGGTCCTAATGTAGCAACAACTTCTTTTGGTTAATCATCTCCTTAATTCTTTTTTCCTTTCTTTCCTTTAGCTTATTATGCAACAGGTTATACTTTATTGTCAGCCTAAATTAAATTCCTAAACATACCATTTCACCTAAAAAAATTTTAAATCTTTTTTAATATAAAAAAATAGAAATTAAATTTAATATGATGGAAATTATATAGATATATATATTGTACTATGCAAATGTTTAAAAACATCATTCAGCTGCTAATTTGTTTTAAGTTTTCTTCACTCTTTAAGCTTTATTCTTTTCTCTTCTATCATTTTATTCCTTCTCAATTTTATCAACTCTAACTTTTTCTTATTTTGTTTCATGAATTGCTTCTATAAGCACTTTCTTGTTTTTATATTGATTACCTTTTGATGCCAAATAGAATTCATGATATCTAAGTAAAATATTATAAAAATTATTTACTATTATCTATCAATCTTTTTGGCAGCTCTATATTTTCTTAATAATCTTCTTAAAACTCTTTATCTACGAATCCATAATACTTTAGTTGGCATTCTAGCCTCTCTTGTACCTCTTCTCTTACCAGTACCAGTGTGTCTGCCTAAATGAATGAATAATAATTCAAATACCTCTTCTTTTAGCTTCAAGATATCTTCTTGCTCTAGCTCTTGAATGTATTGTTCTCAATCTTCTCATAATAAGTCCATCTTTAATTAATTTTCTAATTGACATTCTTGAATTTGCCAAACTGATTTCACTAGCTTCATTTGGATCCAACCAAACTCTATTAATACCTACTTTCAACTATGTGGATGCCAATCTTTTCTAGAGACGGAGATTAACCATTAAAAAATTAATATCTAAATATTTAAATTTTTATATATTTATTATGGGAACTTGTGGAGCAAACAACAAAAAAACCAATAAAGAATAAAATACAGTATTAAATTAAACCTATAAAGATTATATAAAACAATTAAAATGATAAAAAAAGTTGTGAATAATAATAAAATTATGAATAGAATTAAAATACATATGACATAAATAGAGAATCTTCTAAATAAAAAACACCTGAATAATTCGAAACTAATGTTCAAATTAAAAATGAAATACATCCAACAACAAATGCTGTAAATGAATCAAAAACAATATAAAATATGATAATAATTGATGATCAATAAAATTTTGTTAATAATCCAATCATTTAAATATCAAAGAAAAAATATTAAAATGATGATCCTTTTAAACATCATTTAGAAGTATCAAATATTATTAAAATAGTTCATTAAAAATAATAAAGATTAAACAGAATAATATGATTTAAAAATAGGAGTGCCTATCAAGTAATAAAACAAAATTAAAATTGAAATTGAAGGCTCATATTAATATTAATAAAATAAATGATAAAATCTAGATTCTTTTTTTCTTATTAAGATAAACGTGTATTTTAAAGAAAAAATTAAAATATAAGAAAAGAAGATTTTGTTGTTAAACTATTAGATGAATATATTCATTCTAAAAAATTAGTTTCAGCATTAAATATAGATGATAATTTAAGTTAATCAATTTAACCCTTAGCATAATCTAATTTTTTTAAGAGAATCCAAATTTTTTAAATTTAGATCTATCGAATTTATTTCTTATTGATTGAGATAATAATAATAAAATTTCAATTGCTCCTACATTAATTGAACCTATAGAAAATATTGTTAAAAATCCAGGAATTTATCCAATATCTAAATTTAAAAATCACTACTATTATAATTACTTGAAATGAATTTAAAGACATGCTTAAATGAATAAGTTTGATGTTTATGTTCCTCCTTCAAAAGATATCACTCTTTAATAATTTGCAAAATCCTTATCCAAATATATTTAGAAAAAATGATTTGATTTCAATTAAATATAAAGTAAGAAGTTTAGGATAAATTGATTTTGGAAACTATATGAAATTTCTACATGATTGTTATAAACATGAAGAAATTAATTTAGAAATTAATTATTCTGGAGTTTGATAAAAATATATGTGAATAATAATAATAATCTCATAAGAAATTCATTTAAATGTTATTATTAACATTAAATCATTTAGGTTTTACTTAATATATAATATATTCATTCTACATATATTTTATTTACTACTATTAAATTTATTAATATATAAATAAAGTTATATTTAAAGTACTCTTTAAAATAATTAAATTAATGAACATGTATTATTAATTTATAAAATATATTAATACTATAATTATAAAAGAGAGATTGATATATTATTTATGTTGAAATTTCTAAAAATATTCATTTGAATTTTAATAGACATTTAATTAATTATATAATAAATGGAGTAATAATTGATTGAAAATAGAAGAATTACTTAATTGTTTTGCTAAAGTGTAAAATCTTGTAAAAACATTGCTTTTGGACATTTTGTTTATTGTGCATGTAAAATAATTACTGCTGTTATTTTATTGACTATTAATGCAACAAATTTTTGTGGTTGGGAAGATGCAAATACTTGGATGACAATAGTGATAGGAGAGTCTCTATTAGAATTAGTTGTATTTGCAATTATAATGAAATTGATTAAAAAAACAGTATTTAGCATATCAAAATTAGCCTGTACTCTTGAATGTTGGTGAAGAATTACATTAGGTTATATATGCTGAAAATTCTTAAATTAATAGTTATGGAGACATATCTGAATTCTTAGCCAATTAAAATGATGATTAAACTACATCGTTTCCTGAAAGAGAATTCGATAAAAAAAAGTTGATGTTGGCATAATAAATTTTATAAGAAATAATCAAAATATACTCTCCTCTTAAATATTCTAAACATCTTGTATTTTTAATAAATTAAGGACTATTAATATGGGGATTCATAATAGGATTTGAAATCCCATGGGATGTGAATGATGAATGTAGAAACAGACTTTTAATAACAATATACGTATTCTTGTTTTATACAATATGCTAATATCTGGATGTTTATCTTTTAATAATTATAATTTTACTTTGCTTACCTTTTGTTTTAATTTTTTTGATTTACTAAAAAATATAATAACCTAAAGGAAAAAAAGATACAGATTAAATATTAGAAGATCTTAAGAAAAAATATTTTGTGAAATATTCTCCAAATCTAATTGAAGGGACACCAGAATGTAAAATTTGCATGTAAACATATTAATTGGAAGAAGAAGTCTTAAAATTGCCATGTCATGAATCTCATAATTATCATTTTATTTGTATATCGGCATGGTTTAAGGTTAACTTGAGTTGTCCTGTTTGTAGAAAAAGTTATGCTGAAGATGAGGGTAATGAATAAAACCTAGAGGATATAAATTAAGCTCCATAATGAATTTATATTTATTTATCAATTCATGATAAATTATTAATTATATAAAAAAAAAAAATATAATACGATATAAATATTATCCTATTAAATTAATAAATTTGATATTGAATTTATACATATTTAAGTCAATAGAATAAAATTTAGATTTAATTATTTAAAAAAATTTAGAAAAACTAAGTATTTATGGGTTGTTCTTCAACAAAATCTTAAGTACAGAAAATAAAAAAGGATTTGGTAATTCAACAAAGAAAGATATAAAAATTCAATTAATAACTTAAATTATTAGAAGAAGATATCGAAAAATTGGATAATCAATAGAGGTATGATGAAGCAGATTTAAAGGATTTAGGTATTTTTAAATAACATTTTAGAATTTTAGCAATTATCAAAAGAAAAAAAAATACTTATTAATGATATAAAAAGTAGAAAAAAAACTTTGGCAAGATATGAACAATTTGATAAGAAAACCAAGAGTTTAAAAGAGTAAAATAAATTAAATGAAGAAAATATAAAATAGTAGATAAAAGCAAAAGAATTATTAGAAAATAGAGAAAAGATAAATAATAAAAATAAAGATTTAGAGGAAGATATGATAGAATTATACAATTCTTAAGAATTAATAGAGATGGAGCAAAGCTAATACAAACCACAACGAAATAGAAATCAATGTAGAAATTAAAATCAATATGAAAATCCAAATAGAAATTCAAACCTAAATCAATTTAAAAATTAAGAACCATAGTAATTATATCCCCCTGCAAATTAAGCTTATGCTTTTGAACCATTAAAAATAGAAAATAATAAAAGTAAACAAATGTTTTAGCAGCCTCTATAATAATCAGTTTTAACAAATTGAAACAAAGGATATTATATTATATTAAATTAAAAAATAATATTCTATTTACAATATTTATAATGAATAGGGTTCACATTTACTTAATTAATTAATGTTTTAAGGATTCAAAAAATCAACTTCTATTAAGAGTACCTAAGAGTCTTTATCAAAATAAAATTCCACTTCTTTGAATTAAGAAAAGACATTGAATTAATTAAGGTAAAAAAAATGTGATTTGGAGAATATAATTGAAAATTATTGTTAAAGACTTGAGTATCTGGATCTATAATGTAGATAACATATTTCTTGTGGTAGAAAAACTGCTGCAAAATGTTGTATCAGAGAAATGAACACTCTGAGAAAATAAATAGAAATGTATCACACTAAAATTAATGTCCTCATAAAAATCACTATATAAATAGAAACGATGCATGAAGATTAAGAGTTAGGAAATCTGATGGAATAGGCTACAAGTTTATTTCGAAATTAAGAAGAATTAAATGAATAACTTACAAATAATCTATAAAATTGGTAAGAGGTCTAAGAATCATAAGTAGAAAGAGATAATCTATTCAAAGATATGGAAGATAAGTGGATTAATAGTTAAGAAATAGATGAAGCATTAAATTAATATGAAGAAGAAATAAAATAAGAGAAATTAACACAATAATTTAATAGTGTGCCAAGCTAAAAGATTTAATCACTCAAATAAAACCAACAAGTTTAACAAAACTAAGTAATAAGTGAAAAAGGAGATTTGATGTTGAATTGATTTTATTCTATTATAAAAATTAATAAAATCATTCCTCAATATAAGTTATTCAATATTTTGGAAGTTAATTTGGTATCTTTTTTGAATTGATCTAATAGAGGGTAGATACTAATTTTTATTTATTTGAATTTTAACTAAGATTTAAAAGCTAGCTTCTAAATATAAGCTTATGAAGGTCTCAGATTGCAATTCGTAGCTCTTAAGTTGCTTAAAGATCTTTATTATTAAAGATTTTTAGTTTAATGACCTTAAAAACTTTTAAAAGTATTTATATTAGTCATTTATTTTCAAATATTTTAACAATTTTTGTTCAGAAAAAAAAGTCTAGTTTTTTTGTTAAATTCTTCATCTCATTTTATTAGAATTTATAAGTTAAGAATGAAATTAATATGTTTATGAGTATAAATCATGATCTACAATGTATTGTTACGAATTTAATTATTCAATTCCTTATATTACCCATAATGTAAGAATTAGGAAAATATTAATCAATAAATGATGATATTCTTTATCTGTTACATAAGATTTCATTTAATAATTTAGATTTTCTTTTACAGATAGAAATTATAATTTAGCATTCATATCAATAAATCATTATCCAATCAATATATGCATATTTATAATTATTATTAAGTTTTTTTGATATATTTTATTATGAGATGTAATATAGAAATACTATTTCTTTATTAAATAATATAAAAAGTCTTAATGAAATTTATTATTCATATTCATACTCTATAATAATTTTATACAAAATATTTTACTATAATCAAAATTTACAAATATTATTATTGATTAAAATAATAATCAATATGAATGATAAGAAATGTTAACAATAGTTATTGGATATTAAATATCCAAACTAAATTTAAATTTTATACAATTTGAAACTTTGTCAAATTGGTAATAATTTTATTCATAGAAGTTCAGATAAGAATTAATTTAAACAATAATTAAAAAGTTATGCGTACATTCAAATCAATCATCAAGTTATCTGCAATTTTCACAAATATCAAAATCACACGCTCTACATGAATATGCTTATGATATAGATTTTCCACACAAATCACAAGAATGATGTGGCAAATTACTCATAAATTGCATTCTAAATAGATAATCCAAACTACCTGTGATTACCACCACAATAAAATCCATCAAGAGGAGGTTTAATACATTCATTGCAAACTCCTTATTTGCATTCTGTACAATAATATTGCGATCCCTTTTTTGATTTAAAACAAATGAGGCAACTCTATGTAATTTCACTCTTCCATTTCAATTAATGATATTTTGGGCAATAAGGAAGTATAAATTAATTCATTATTAATATTAATAATTACATAAATTAATTATATAATAATATTGTATATCTATATGAAACAATCCTTAAAATTTGAAAACCCAAATTATAAATACATACTTCATCATTAGATGTATAATTAAATATTAACAATCTCTATGTATATTTATTTAATTATAATAATCTTATAATTCAATTCTAATTGATAATATGAAGTCAAATTGATTATATTTAAGATATCTATTATTATTTATATTATAAACAATTTATAGACACAATTTAAGTGTTAGATTGATATATCTAAGATTTTATTTGTTTTATAATATTATTCATTTCTAGTATATGTTTTATTCAAATTGTTATAATACAAAAAATGTGTTTATTTTTCCTTAATAGAAATAGATTTTGAATTCCAAAGTTAATAGTATAATAATATATATAATAAGATAATAGAGAGTAATAAGTATGCATTAAAATAATTTATATCTTTTTAATTATTATATTTAAAATCAAATGGCTAAAGCAGCAAAAGACACTAGACCAATTGCAGACTAAGCTACTTCAGAGACTGCATGCACTTATGCCGCTCTCATCTTGTATGAAGATAATCAAGATGTACATGAATCTATCTAAATCAGATCGATTCTACTAAATTAGCTAAGATAATTAAGGCAGCTAATATAAGAGTTGAACCAATTTGGACAAAAGTTTTTGAAAAGGCATTGAAAGGCAAAAAGGTTGGTGATTTATTACATGGAAGCAGTGGAAATACAGGAAGTACACCAGCAACACAAACTACAGCAACACCAGCTGCAGCAGAAACTAAGAAACCTGAACCTGTAAAGGAGGTTAAGAAAGCTGAAGAACCAGAAGAAGATGTTGACATGGGAGGTTTATTTGATTGAAAATTAATACAATATCGCACATTAATATTTTAACATATATATAATCAATTTTGAAAATTGAGTATTGATGTCTAAACTAAAATAATGATATCGAGATATAGCCATATGAATTTTATATAAATAAATTATAGAAATATAATTAGAAGTTGTTTCATTTTTATTAAGATTATTTATGTTAAATTTTGTTTGAATAAATAAATTTATTAAGATAATTTGAAAGTGTTTAAGAAAATAGAAAATATGTAAATTGATCAAAACTTACAATATACATTTTAAATATTATTTTAGCTTCACTTCTTCTTCATCATAAAATCATTTTATTTCTAATTTTGCAATTTCTTTATTTAAATTCTATAAATCACATAGAATTTTCATTTTCTTTTTCTTAAATGTTAGACAAAATATTTAAATTCTAAAATATATTTAAGAGTATATTGAAATATATTATTTTACAGCTCTAATTTTATCTCAATCATCTCTTAAATTATGATTTTATTTTACAAAAAAATGATAGTATGATTTTTATTAAAGAATTCATCTTTCCTAACTTTTTTCTGATTTTAAATCAATACAATAATGTTTTCATCAATTTAATATTTAATATTATTCAATTTCTATTTGCTTTTATTTTATAATTTGAATATAGGTTTATGTTTTCTAAAAAATAATAAGTTAAATAGTAATACTCAAAATTAATATATTATAAAAATCTTAATCATCCTTTAATAGTGCATTTTCTATCTATAAATTATTTATTAATAATTATTTTAGATTATACTTGAGTTTTTTCATATATTTTGTTATTGGAAATATTAAATTTATATATAATTAATTTGAATAATATCATCATTTTAGTATCTTATACTATAATTTAAATCAGGATAGCTAATATCAACTTTTTGAAATTATTTAGTGATTCATAACTTTATTGTTAATCAATTTAAAGAATTAACAAGTTTAATATTTTTTTTAGCATTATCACTAACCTTTACAAATACTTTTATTTGTTTACAAAACATCATTTATAGATAAGATCTAGAGATTAGCAATTAGTATTGATAGAATTCATGCAGAATTATTAGAGAATGATTATCTTTGAGTTCATATTCTATGTACGTGACATTGAATAATATTCAAAAAAAGAAAAGTTTACTATACATATAAAGGAGTTGGTATTTTTATGTAAATAAGGCTAATTCAAGCTAGGTTTGGTACATAATTAATGAATTTTATTAATGATGACATGCATATACAATAAATAGATATCAACTTTGTTATTATTGGGCTGCCAGAAAACCTGGTAATTAAGCGAAAAAGGCCATGCTTTTCAATCTTTCAATGAGCAAAGCCTACATAAGTAATTATTATTGAAGAGTGGGCATAGGTTATATCATAGGAGTGCTTGCATTGGCTTATAAGAGTGGGGGATCTAGTTTGGATAATAATTTAGAAACAATTATCTCATCTGAATCGAGGGTTTACATCTAATATTTTTTTAAGAAAAAAGAATACATGATTCCTTCTGTAAGAATTTATTAAAGAATTGTAAGCGTTTTTGACTTAGTTTTCAGTTCTACCTTTTATTTATTTAGAAATCACAGACCACTTTTTTCCTTGATTTTAAACTAACTGCAGCAGTTGAATTTATTCTGATTCAGTCCATGGACATTTGTTTAGATCAGGGTCTAAATAATTATTCCATCGTTCCCTCACTTATTTTGCATGTCTCATAATTGGACTAGCACGGTTATATTCCAAAGCAACATGAGTCCATGAAATAAATTTTTGCGTCATCACTTTTCTTAGAAGATCATCCTCTTCAGGAGTCCATGGAGACTGTTTTAAATCTGTTTTTAACATTCCTATCCATTTCGAATTTAACAGTTCAGGAGGTGCTCCAAGGATTTCTGATAGTGCTATCCAATCATCATCGTTCTAATCAATTTAAACATAAATTCATACAGGTTTTAAGTCTGTACGACCCTATTTCTCTAAATATTTTAGAGTGGTCCATATAAATATCATTTTATCCTTTCGTTACCACTTATGTGAGGTATGTTTAGTAAATTCTACAAAGTAATTTGTTATGTTTTTAGGTAAACTTTTTTCTTCAATCTTTAAAATCTTTTTCACTTGCTTCAAGGCAACAGGTTTATGCTTCAGGCTTCCTAATCCATCAAGGAATTCTTAAAACATCTATTAGTAAGAGGATATTTCCTTGTTAAAAATAAAAAATAATTATCTTTGAAATCATCTATAACATACCAACTAAATAAGGGTGTAGAGTAACTGAACGATATCAGAATCTACTTATATTTATATAAAAAGAAGAATTTATCGTCACCTTTAGAATTCACAATCATTTTTTGAAAATATAATATGATTAAACCAATTATTAGTTTTCAAATTTCCAATCCACCTCAATTCTTCTTTAAATTGATAATCAAATATTATTATTATGTTTACTGGTTTTATAATTGTTGCCATTTATATGAAACTCTTACTTCAATAATTATATAGAATATTAATAATATATTTAAACACAATAAAACTCAAATTTTTCATTGCACATAAATAAATTTAAGTTGCATTTTCAAAATATTTAGAAATCTAAATATTTATTAATACTAACTAGATCTCAATGAAAATTAAATATTATTTTATATAATTAGATATAAAATGTATAGATAATTATTAAATTTTGCAAATCAATTTACAAAATAATAAATGGAAGTTTGTTGATTCAAATCAATTCTCAAAAAATATTTATCAATAGTCTATTCATTCTATTCAATTTAATTTTCTTTGATTTATGATGATTGAGCAATTTATCATTTCAGAAATTAAATTTTAATAAAAATCAATTTAATTTGCTCAATAACTTTGAATATATTTTTTAGTTATTATCTCATTAAATTATAAATTTTTATATTTCATTTGCTGGAAATCTCATCTGAACTTGATTTTACTGGCACTTTAATATTTGGTTATTATTAAATCTACATTTTGGTAATACAGCCTGTCTGTCAATAAGTTCTAATCTTTCTAATCTTTTTCTTTCCTCTTGTGTTACTTTCTAAAACTATATTTAATCTTTTTTGCTTTTTCGTCGAGATTTAATATTGTGTAAGACTATTTATCAATATCTTGGAGTTCTACTTAAAAAACTACCTGCAAATTCTAATTCTTATAATTAATTAAGAGCAACGAGAGATATTCAATATCAGGTAAGCTATTTGAATTATCAAATAAATAATAAAATATTAATAGATTCATACAAGCAATTCTAACAATTTTAAATATTTTAGAAATTCTTCAATCTATAATCAATTTATTTTTAAAATTAATTAGATTTTATATAGCAAATGATTAAGTATTAAATTATCTTATTATATTATAATTTAAATCTAATTCTTGCTATTATTTTTATTTTTCCAAATAGTCAAGTTGAATAATTTCATTTTTTTCATATTTCATAATTTTTAAATCATTTAATAAATAATACTGCAATCCATTAAATTCTGTCAAATATTTTTATGATGTATTCAATCTTTTTTTGTAATTTTTATAAGTTAGAAATAATAAATTTCAATTTTATCTGAAGTTAAGATTAAAATTTTAATTTGAGGCAAAATTCAATCATTTTAATAAAAGCAAATAAATTTTGAGTTAAATCCAATTCCATTTAAGAGGAGAATTATTGAACATTAAAATTTATAAAATCGCAGTTCCGTTAACAAAGTTCAGTGATCTTATTGTAGGCTGGCCTTAAAATGTATAGAATCATATCTCAACTGTTAAACTACTAGTATATAAGGTTTAGCCAGTTATTTATGTTTTATAACAACTCTTTTTATTTGTAAATCTTTAATGCCATACTTCCATTCATTGTATCTTCAATTTATATAATAAATACAAAAAATATCCCATTTTTTTTGCTTTTGTCGATCTAACATTTCTTCCTGTTTCCAGTTTATAATTCAGAAACTAATTTATTTATGCTTTGATTGTAATCATAAACTTTTTTTTAGAGCTATTATTAATTTCTNTTATTAAATTTTGCAAATCAATTTACAAAATAATAAATGGAAGTTTGTTGATTCAAATCAATTCTCAAAAAATATTTATCAATAGTCTATTCATTCTATTCAATTTAATTTTCTTTGATTTATGATGATTGAGCAATTTATCATTTCAGAAATTAAATTTTAATAAAAATCAATTTAATTTGCTCAATAACTTTGAATATATTTTTTAGTTATTATCTCATTAAATTATAAATTTTTATATTTCATTTGCTGGAAATCTCATCTGAACTTGATTTTACTGGCACTTTAATATTTGGTTATTATTAAATCTACATTTTGGTAATACAGCCTGTCTGTCAATAAGTTCTAATCTTTCTAATCTTTTTCTTTCCTCTTGTGTTACTTTCTAAAACTATATTTAATCTTTTTTGCTTTTTCGTCGAGATTTAATATTGTGTAAGACTATTTATCAATATCTTGGAGTTCTACTTAAAAAACTACCTGCAAATTCTAATTCTTATAATTAATTAAGAGCAACGAGAGATATTCAATATCAGGTAAGCTATTTGAATTATCAAATAAATAATAAAATATTAATAGATTCATACAAGCAATTCTAACAATTTTAAATATTTTAGAAATTCTTCAATCTATAATCAATTTATTTTTAAAATTAATTAGATTTTATATAGCAAATGATTAAGTATTAAATTATCTTATTATATTATAATTTAAATCTAATTCTTGCTATTATTTTTATTTTTCCAAATAGTCAAGTTGAATAATTTCATTTTTTTCATATTTCATAATTTTTAAATCATTTAATAAATAATACTGCAATCCATTAAATTCTGTCAAATATTTTTATGATGTATTCAATCTTTTTTTGTAATTTTTATAAGTTAGAAATAATAAATTTCAATTTTATCTGAAGTTAAGATTAAAATTTTAATTTGAGGCAAAATTCAATCATTTTAATAAAAGCAAATAAATTTTGAGTTAAATCCAATTCCATTTAAGAGGAGAATTATTGAACATTAAAATTTATAAAATCGCAGTTCCGTTAACAAAGTTCAGTGATCTTATTGTAGGCTGGCCTTAAAATGTATAGAATCATATCTCAACTGTTAAACTACTAGTATATAAGGTTTAGCCAGTTATTTATGTTTTATAACAACTCTTTTTATTTGTAAATCTTTAATGCCATACTTCCATTCATTGTATCTTCAATTTATATAATAAATACAAAAAATATCCCATTTTTTTTGCTTTTGTCGATCTAACATTTCTTCCTGTTTCCAGTTTATAATTCAGAAACTAATTTATTTATGCTTTGATTGTAATCATAAACTTTTTTTTAGAGCTATTATTAATTTCTTTTTGATTTTCATATTCTTCTTATTTTTTCTAAAAGTTGTTACTATTGTTTATCTTATTTCTAAGCTTATTTAATATATAAATTAGAAATGATTGAATCATTTTTATATGAGTATTAACGATGTAAGTATGATAATTACATAGATTATATATAGGATCTTAATCAAAAAGAGGATCATAAAATGCAAAAAGTTTCAGAATTGGTAAAAATTCATATTCAAGGCCTCTTTGAAACTATATATGTTGTTTATATTTAAATCATATAAGTTTTTTAATTAATCTAAAGAAGTTCTTAATTTGTTTATTAAATTATTATCTAACCAGAGTTGATTTAGATTGACAAGTTAATTTAGGTTTTAAATTTAATTCATTTTATAAAAGTAAAACTACAATATTTATAATTCTATGAATGATTCCAATCCTTCTAGGGATATATAGAGGGCTCTTAAATTTGTTGCATCTTTCAAACTAACTAACTTAATTATCTAATTTTCATTCAAATTTTTATTCTTCCAATTTATTTAAATCATCTAATCTCTAGTTAAACGCCAACACTAATTAATGTTAAGTATTTTTAATTTTTTAATGTCTAAATTACATTAATACTTCTAAGATCTTCAAGTGTAAATTATATTCTATCTATTTTAATCCAAATTATTCCATTCCTTATCAGAGAATCTATTCATAATTTTCTAAGTTTTATCATGATTCTTATCATTGTTCTCTTATTTTCCAAAGTCCCCTTTCTACTTCTTCTCTTATTGTGTTTTTCATTATAATAACTTTTTTTATGCTTAACTTTTAAAATAGAATGAAATATATAATAATATTAAATCAATATTCATTAACTGATACATCAGATGCTACATACTTTATTATTTAATACGTCTAATGAACTGGAAGAACTCTAAATCATCCTCTACTTTATGGTTACTTTGTTCTGACCATGGTGGCAACTTAATAGTTAAAGTATCAGAATTGGACAAGTAATTATGATCCTTAGTAACTGGCATGGGAGGGAACTTTATACCAACAAAAGGTTTTTTGGCCAAAGCTAAAAAGTATATAGATATTCATTTACGATTGTAAACATAAACATGCTTCTTTGTAGTTTCAGAACTACTAAGAGATTCAGTCTTTGGTGCAATATTTAGCACTACATCAGTTGAAGAATTCTAAACTGGTTGTGCTTCAGTATCTCCTTCTAAAGATATAGCTTTATCAACATAATTTGCTTAATCAGTTGTTGATTCCTATAATTCTTCAGCTCTTTATTATTTTTTGAATTATTACTGTACTTAATCTTCAATCTTCTCAATCTACAAAGACTCCTACTATTGAAAACCATCTTATTAGGCTTTAATAAACTTTATTGAATACTTGAATCAATTGATTCCTCAATATAAACCATTGGATTATCATCACTCTTAAACACTGCCAAACTAGCTTCAACCTCTTAATTTTAATCTCCTTAAAGGGTTTCAGCTGAAACATCATCTCTTCCTACATAAAAACTTTAATCTTCCTATTCGGCTTAGAAGATTGCTTCTCTAAATTATCTCATTTACCTTGTTCTTCTTCAATCAAGGCTTTGGGTGAGCCTCTTAACATTTGTGAAGCACCAAAGCAAATTAGCACTGTGAGAATTAGTGTCCTCATGAATATATTATATATTAATAATTGAAAAACGATCAAAAATTTATATTTCATCTATTCTAATAGCATTATCAAAAAACAAGAATGCTTAAAAAAACAATCTGTAAGCTAAGATCTGCAGTTTTATCATTGTAATCCTTGGTTATTTGGATAATTCGAACATATTACTAAACTTATCAATAATTTTAATGTATTATTTTGAAACTATAACTATTAAGACCTAGTTCTTATGATTTTATTGTGAAAATTATAATAATTTTTTAGTAAAGTCTATATATAAAGAAAAGTATTAATATAATCTTAATTATGATCTAATAATTTAAAATTACTATTTTTGCATTTTTTTTTCAGTTACTTAAGTTATTATCTAACATCACTATTCATAATTAGAATGATTTATAAGTTTAATTGGAAATTTAGTAAATAATAATTTAAAAACAATATTAAGTAAAAGAATTCATTTATTTAAAAAAGGTCACTACTTTTCATAAATTTTGCTTTTTAATATGAGATTTAGATGTTTATAAATAAATGATATAAAATTGGATTTATTAATGTGATTCAATTATATTAGATTGCAGTTAATTCACGAAGTTGGTGTATTTTAGCGAAGAAAATTAATCGTTTTTTAATGTAATAAAATAATATAAATCTTTCTAAAATGAGCACTAGCTAATNCTGGCATGGGAGGGAACTTTATACCAACAAAAGGTTTTTTGGCCAAAGCTAAAAAGTATATAGATATTCATTTACGATTGTAAACATAAACATGCTTCTTTGTAGTTTCAGAACTACTAAGAGATTCAGTCTTTGGTGCAATATTTAGCACTACATCAGTTGAAGAATTCTAAACTGGTTGTGCTTCAGTATCTCCTTCTAAAGATATAGCTTTATCAACATAATTTGCTTAATCAGTTGTTGATTCCTATAATTCTTCAGCTCTTTATTATTTTTTGAATTATTACTGTACTTAATCTTCAATCTTCTCAATCTACAAAGACTCCTACTATTGAAAACCATCTTATTAGGCTTTAATAAACTTTATTGAATACTTGAATCAATTGATTCCTCAATATAAACCATTGGATTATCATCACTCTTAAACACTGCCAAACTAGCTTCAACCTCTTAATTTTAATCTCCTTAAAGGGTTTCAGCTGAAACATCATCTCTTCCTACATAAAAACTTTAATCTTCCTATTCGGCTTAGAAGATTGCTTCTCTAAATTATCTCATTTACCTTGTTCTTCTTCAATCAAGGCTTTGGGTGAGCCTCTTAACATTTGTGAAGCACCAAAGCAAATTAGCACTGTGAGAATTAGTGTCCTCATGAATATATTATATATTAATAATTGAAAAACGATCAAAAATTTATATTTCATCTATTCTAATAGCATTATCAAAAAACAAGAATGCTTAAAAAAACAATCTGTAAGCTAAGATCTGCAGTTTTATCATTGTAATCCTTGGTTATTTGGATAATTCGAACATATTACTAAACTTATCAATAATTTTAATGTATTATTTTGAAACTATAACTATTAAGACCTAGTTCTTATGATTTTATTGTGAAAATTATAATAATTTTTTAGTAAAGTCTATATATAAAGAAAAGTATTAATATAATCTTAATTATGATCTAATAATTTAAAATTACTATTTTTGCATTTTTTTTTCAGTTACTTAAGTTATTATCTAACATCACTATTCATAATTAGAATGATTTATAAGTTTAATTGGAAATTTAGTAAATAATAATTTAAAAACAATATTAAGTAAAAGAATTCATTTATTTAAAAAAGGTCACTACTTTTCATAAATTTTGCTTTTTAATATGAGATTTAGATGTTTATAAATAAATGATATAAAATTGGATTTATTAATGTGATTCAATTATATTAGATTGCAGTTAATTCACGAAGTTGGTGTATTTTAGCGAAGAAAATTAATCGTTTTTTAATGTAATAAAATAATATAAATCTTTCTAAAATGAGCACTAGCTAATAAGAATTATTTGAGTATATGAGTGAAACCTTATAAACATCCGAGAAGGGATTATTAGAGATGTAATCATCAAATCCTTAAAGTAAGTTAAGTTATCTAATGTTTTTTAAGATTTCTAAAAGCTTGTTGAAAAGATGAAGAGAACAATGAGAAGAGAGAAAGCTAAATAAAGAAAGAATAAAGATGAGCCAGAAATTGTGTCAATTAGTAAAAAAATAAAAAGAAAGAAAGAAGATGAAGATCCATTAAGAGATAATGATAAGAAAACTATATAGATGATACGCAATAGGATAAGTGCATAAAATTCAAGAGATAGAAAAAAACAATATTTACATTAATTAGAATCACAAGCACAAAAAGAATTAGATTACAATGCTGAATTGAGAAAATAACTTGAAGAACTATAAGAAAAACAACAAAAATTGACAAACAAAAGCTAAAAAATAAGAAATCAACTATCAATTCTTTAGCAATTAGGTCGTGGATCGAGATTAGGTAAAATAAGTCTTGCTCTCTTGACCCTTGTGTCAGTGTTTTCTGTAATCTCATAAAAAGAACAAAATTAAACAATAACAACTCCTCTCGTAAAAATTGAAGAGATCTCAAGTGAAAGTGCAATGAGACCTATAAATTATGAGAAATCATATTCAATTATTGATACTAACACTTTCTTTGAGGAAGAGAAATTAGGAGTTGGAGTTTCAGAAGAATCAGAGAATTGTTACAATTAATTGTTACCAATCTCTATTTATCGGTTCAATTCATAGATAGAATACGAATTAGGGCAGCATAATTGAATATTTGATTGATTTGATGTATATTTTTCTATCTTGTTCGAGTAAATTATGAAAAAATAAAATAAAATAATATAAAAAATATAATCATACCGATCTCTCCTTGGGGGGTTTGTATTTCAATCCTAAAATCTTATACACATCCATTTCTTCTTCACATGGTATTACTTCTCCTTTCCACAATTTCTTATTATGTGCACCTCTTTGAGTAGGGTAGAGTCCATGATCACTTAGAGTATATCCGTTTTTTTGAGCCCATAATCTCATACTTCTATTGTAATGATCAGAACCAGTGAAATATAAAACTGCACAACCATATTGTTCTTTTGGATATAGTTTTAAATCAATCCTTCTATGTACTGCTTAATTAGATACTCTTCCAATTCCCATATATGTTTCACAATCTTAATCAGTTCTTTTTGGCATTGTTAAATGATGGGTTAATAATTTCCCTTCTAATCGTTTAATCAAACTAAGAAGAAAATCTTCAGTATTTTTACCATCACATCTTGTAATTAAAATATCCATATCTCCACATGTTTCTTTTTCTCTTCTATAAGATCCACATGCAGTTGCTTTATATAAACCTTATACTCCACTTAAATCATCAATTTCTCTTTTAACAATTTCAAATATTAAAGTAGCTTCTTCTCTTGGTATCCTTTATTCTAAATCTTCTACTAAATGCAAACAAACTTATTGATTTCTATTTAATAAATGTTAATTCTTTTTCAAATCTTCAATAGTTTTAATTCCTTTAAAATAGAATGTAGCAGCAGTTGTAGGTCCAATACCCCAAACTCTACTTAATTCACTAATAGCAACATTTTTTTCTTATCCTTCCAATTTTTATACTTTAGTTAATTTACCTGTTTACATAATTTCAATTATCTTCTTCTTAATTTTATCTCCAATTGTAGGCATATCTTTTAAATCTTCACTAGATTTAATAGGATATGGAAGCGCTTTTAAGAATCCAATAGCTTTTCTATATGCTATACATCTTCCTTTATCTTTTTCATTTGTATATATTTTCAACAATTTTTCTAATTCTTCTATAATTTCATTATTTTAAC